ATACCTATTCTAAATTAATCTCTAAGAGATATTATTAGTAACAGGGATGAGCAGTAAATAGAATGAGATACCATATTTCTGTACTTACTTATACATCAAATAATATCATTATTGGGCTTTTATCTTTTGTATTATCTTACCGTTCAATCATATATCAAATCTGTTGACCTATAGAACTGAGACATGGTAGACCGTCAAACTCTATCAGGGTAGATTTTCAGTAAATGATCATGATGTAGCATATACTTCAATAAAGTAACATAGCAATAATTCAACAAAATTTTGATATAATGTCAATATCCTTGGCATTGTAATATTTATAAAATATTTAAATAATGCATTTGTGTAATATCCAAATATATTATTATATTAATATCATATTGAATCGTTGCAGCAAAACATCTGGGAGAATATTGTCTTAATATTCATATATTTGGAAAGCAGAAAGTTAAGGAGTTCATCAAAATTCAAGAGCTTGTTAATGAAATAGCCAGAAAGAAAGCATTCTGATTTGTAAACTATGCTTTATTTTTTTTTTAACATAGTCTTCATATAGTATTTAGGAATAAATTATTATATTATGACAGAAACATTTTTCTGGAAAAACTTAAAAACTATAAATATGTTGATAATAGACTTCATGATATCTGTATAGCGTTGTTTTATCAGACCCTTTAAAATAACTTTTACAGTTTTAGTGCATGCATTATTATGACTCAGCTGAAGAAACCTGTTTATTTTCAAAGATGCACCAATAAAGAGTCTGGGTCCACGAGTTTTAAGACATAGTTTAGGCTTATTTAACATTTACAGCTATGCCACTTGTGTATTTGTGTGTTCTGTGATTGTCCTGGTCGGGGGGCTGGGGGGATTGGTTTTACTGAGTATGTTTTTCTTCGAGCAGAACTGAGTAAATAGATGAGTAATTTTAGTATGATGTAGTAGTTGCAGGTATGTTACTAGGATTTGAGTTCAAACATTTCACTGAGTATGAAGTCAGCTAAACTAAATCATCATCAGCATCATCATCATCATCATCATCATTTTACTGTAGGCAGCATAAAAAGATTTCCCAGATTTTGAAGAGGTTAAAAGTGGTATTAATATTTTTTTGTTGAAACTACTGATATTTGCCTACTTTTTAATGAAATTTTCACATTTAAATTATTATGGTCTTTTAAAATACATTGATTCTATAAATTTTTACAATTAATTGTTATTTGAACTTGACAGGCACACTTTTTCTGTTGACTGTCCATCGATTTTCACTACATAACTGTATTAATTATTAATCAAGTAGCATTAATATCTAATTTTTCCCTCTTTAATAATCTACTGAATATCATTTACCTAAAGTTACAAATCATAGAAGAATCCTTAGTCCAAATGATCTTTATTTTAGGAAATAAAGAAACCATGGCTATGTAAAAAGTGCTTGCGTATTTATATTTAGAAACTGGAGAGCTATATACAGTGGGATGGCTGGCTGGTTGGATGGATGTGTGGATAAATGGGAAGGATAGATGTATGGATAGACAGTATCTACCCACACACTGCAGTGAGGTGGGGCGGGGTGGAGGTAATAAGAAAAAGAGGATAAAGGTGAAAAAGAATAAATATAAGAGGGAGAACACACTTTTAAATTTGGAGGGAGCATGCAGGGAGTAATATGAGTATGTCTGTAATTCATTGTTCAAAGATGAAAGGAAATGCACAGTAATAAAATTATTTCATAATACTTAAAGGATCTGTTCCTACAAATACAAAAATAATGCACAATACATTATAAAAGTTGTGTCAGTAAAGAGTATTCATTTTTTCTTCATGATGTTTAATAGCTTGTTTTCGGTGTTGCAGTTTCCCCATGAACTTGGGCCAGTTGGCTCGGCTGATTGGTGGCTCTCTGTGTGGCATGTATGACTATGTCAGGACTGTTTGCAGCTGGGACCTTGAATCCAGTCTTTCAGCCATAGTTTTCTTCCATGTGCCTTCATGACAGACAAAATCCATTGTCAGAAACTCACCAGCTCTGACTCCTGTATTAGAAAATATGTAGTATATTGTTCAGCATTTGGCAGTGTGAGGCTATATTGTGCATAGTGAGTGCATATCCTGACAAACACCAGAAGCAAATTTTGGAGTCTAAAACCTAACTGAGATGTGTTCTATGAGCTTTCTTGGTTCTTTTTTTATTATTATTAAAAAAAATTTATTGGAGTATAGTTGATTTATAGTGTGTTATTTTCTGCTGTGCAGCAAGCTGAATCAGTTACACATATACATATATCCACTCTTTGAGATTCTTTCCCCATATATAGACCATTATAGACTTGAGTAAATTTCCCTATGCTAAAAATAGGTCCTTGTTGATTATCTATTTCATATAGAGTAGTGTCAAGCTTATATGTAGTACGTCAAGCTTTATGGGTTCTAACAATTTTGGCTATTTTTAAATGTTTTCTCCTTTTCTTAGCTTCAGTCTGCCATGTCTTTCTCTCTCTGTTTGTTTCATCCTGCCTTCTCTTTACACCTTTAATCATATCACATTAATGACCGCTTTGTGTTGGATTTAGTTGCCAAACGTGCTATAATACCACTCTTAATTATGTATGCTTTGAATTTCCTAAACTCCTTTGTTTTCCTAAACACATTTGAATGGATCTCAGATGAACAAGTAAAATGTGGACACATTGTGTAAATTGGAAAACTATCTTGGAGAAAGAAAGAAATGAAAAAACACAAAACATGAATTAAAAAGGGAAAAAGGGAGAAAGTGTCAAACTTTAGTAAATATAGACACAATAAAAATAGAACGTTTAAAATTAGATAATCAAAGGGGTAAAACTCTACTATAGGCTCAAAAGTACTTTAAAAGCAACAGTCAAGAAATACAGTTAAAAAAAAAAAAAGAAATACAGTTTCTTTGTGACTCACTAGCACTACTGTTTTCATTAGATACTCCTCTGTCCATGGAATTCTCCAGGCAAGAATACTGGAGTGGGGTTGGGTTGCCATTTCCTTCTCTAGGAAATCTTCCTGACTCGGGGATTGAACCCTGGTTTCCTGTATTGTAAGCATATTCTTTACTGTCTGAGCCACTGGAGAAGCCCCTGAATACTTAGATACCATACCTAATTTCTTCAGTTTTTGGTATTTATTTATCTGAATCTACTCTCCTGGCTCTTGAAGTTTTCTCTTGATTTCATTTAAACTCTGCTCAGAAGTTTCAATTTGACATTTCAGGCTTTATCTAGAACCAAGCGTGTGTGTGTGTGTGTGTATCTCTAAAAGGAAATCAACTCTTAAAGTGGTATTATTAAGATAATATGAAAAGTTGTATTTTTCTTTAGCTCATGATTTGATAATCACCTTTAACATTTGAGTGCACATATTCACCTTCAGGATTCACAAAGAAATACATCAACCTTTCCCAAACTGCTTCATGTAACTCAGTTACCCTACAATGCACATGTGCCACATGATATTGATAAATGTTTCAAAAACAGGATCTTTGTGATATTGGCTCGCAAGACATTGCATAGTCTGTATCTCTCTCTGAGAGTTTTATAGAGTTTATCTGTGTGTTAAAAGCTCTGAGAGGTCCTTCAGTAAAATAATAATACTGAGGATGCTATTAAACTATCTCCTAAACAGTTTGTGTGTATGTGAGAAATACCAAAATAAATGAACTGTTTGGCTGAACTTATTAATGGAGAGTGTTAATACTGTTTTTTGTTTTTTTTTTTTTAAATCAGCTAAGGTACAACCTAAGACCACAGAAAGAATCTCTGACCCTTCTCTTTATTCCCAAGTTATTGTCTCTTTATTTGGTAAAGATTTATATGGTTCTACCCTAAACTTTGTAATTATAGACTGGAAACCAGGTTATTAGCAAGCTCTTCCTCACCACTCCCCCATGTAAATGAGACATTTCTTTCTTTTTAATTCCTTTCTTTTCCTTTTGTTCCTTTCCTTAATCTTGCTGATCCACTGCCAGCAAAACCTCCCTGAATCTTGACCCTATCCATCACTCTTGGGGAAAAAGTTTTACTGTCAGTCTCCTTTTGTCAACTTTCTAGCTTCATGCTTCATCTCTGCCCTCTTAACAAATCCCTTCTTAACCATCCCAGCCTCCTGTATTCTTTCAGAACTCTCCTCTTTCAATCCTGTGTTCTGTCCAAACCTGCTCTCTGTAGTCTGTCAATTAAAGCAAAATACAGATGTGCGCCAAGATGTAAATAACACACTCCTGAGACATGTTCACGTTAGAACATGGATCAGCCCTTGGATCTCATCCCGTGTGTGGGATTCCTGCTCTCCACGGCACGGGGAAGTTTTCAACTCAGTTGAGTTCTACAGGTCCACGTGCAGTCAGACTGGGGTGGATCAGGCAGCTTTGGATCTACCCATCTACTCAAGCCCACGCACTGAGCTCTCAGGGGTGACTGATGAAGAGGACTGTTGTTTAGTCGCCAGGTTGTGTCTGACCCTTTATTGCAACCCCATGGACTGCAGCCCACCAGGCTCCTCTGTCCATGGGATTCTCCAGGCAAGAATACTGGAGTGGGTTGCCATTTCCTCCTCCAGGGGATCTTCCCGACCCAAGCATAGAACCTGAGTCTTCTGCATTGGCAGATGAATTCTTTACCACTGAGCCTCCAGGGAAGCCCATGATGAGGAGAATACACATTGCTAATGGAGGAAACAACATTAGCATCAATTTCCAGTTTCTTTGTATTAATTCTCAAAGAAAGGTGCCTTTTCTTTGGTGTGTAGGTGATTTTGATGGCCTTGGATACATGTCTTTCAGGTTGGACGTCTCTTCCAGATTTGGTTTCCAATTTCTGGCAATCTTGGCTTAACCATCACTTTTTTTTTTTAAACATTCCTCTAATCCACCTGGACTGTTCAGCATTCTATTCTCTGTTTACCTCTATGTATTTGACTGGTCCCTAAGATAGTTACCTCAGCAGTAAGTTAGTGCCTGTCTTTGCCCACAGGAGTGCGTCTTGACAGAGTACGTGGAGGTCGGCAGAAGTACAAGCGCAGAATAGATGCGGAGAACAGCCCATACCTGAACCCTCAGCTGGTTCAGCCAGCCAAAAAGCCATGTAAGTACAGCAGACACGTCTGGCTTTCCAGCACACGACTTCCTCCCAGCTGGCTGCTCTGGATCCATCAGTTTTGGCATGCCCATTCCTACTGACTCCAGTGAGGCTTCTCTTCCCTAAGCGGGGTAGGGGGGTCTGTGGCTTTATTCCCGGGGACTGCCTCTGAAGAGCAATGTCAACGAAGCTGATTATCTTTCTCCCCCTGTGGCTTTCTTGTCCCCTCCTGCCCCTCCCCCCCTTTTTTAACCTAGTCATTTTGTAGAAACATAAGCATACTAAGGCATAGCTTATATGGTGTGACTTTTACATTTACAGGTTATCTTTATTTTCAGAGATACATAAAACTGATCATACTGTGATCATTAGTTCATTGGAGCTGTTAGTTTCAGATTTCACAAGAAAGTGATTTTTGTAGTTTTCACTAACGAAATGAGTTTGACTGTTCAACCTCCCAATGAAAATACATTAGGAGCCTCATTAATTTGGAGCTATGGAAGGTTAACACACCAACCAGCAATAGATTAAAACAAAATTGAGTCCTACTAATAACAAGCATAGGTTGGTGGTTCCATTTCAGATGTCCTTATGGGCTTTATGAATTATTTTTTAAAAGCCCGTAGTTTGATAATATCCAGTTGCAGTTTAAAATGGTGATGGGTACATAGCTGAAATGCAAGCCCTGTCCTCTTCATCATTAACTAGAATATAGATACGTCTTTTTAAAGAGGTAGAATATAGATGAAGGCGGTTAACTGTGTTCCAGTTTCTGAAAAATCAGTTCATGGCTGTACAGTAAGCCCCTTACAGACCAATCAGTTCCATTCCAAGATTCCATTTGTAAGTCCAGTTTGTTCATAAGTCCAACAAAATTAGCCTGGGTGCCCTACTAACACAGCTATGCAGGCCTATACTGTAGTAGGTTTATAGTACTTTTCACACAAATAACACATCAGACACAGACACAAAAAATAAAGAAAACATGTTTAATCTTACACTATGTTGAAAAAGGCAGAAGTACAGTACAACAGCTTGCATACAGAGGCTGGCATCAAGTGAAGAGGCAAGAAAAGTTGCTGACTGGAGGAGGGAGAGGCGGTGGGAGATGGTGGAGCTGCAGGGTCATCAGTGATAAGAGATAGAGGGCAAGCTGCAGCTTCACCCAGGCCAGACGTTGAAAGTTTGCAACGTGAAGGTTCGCATATCTGGGGCTTCTTGTAATGCATAAGAGCTAACCTTTTAGGATGTTTATGCATAGAGTTTATTGCGAGGCATTGAAAAGTGCAGTGATGGAAACAGTTCTCCTATGTAGCTGTTTCTGGTTCAGAAGACACAACCAGCCCTCACCAGAGGAAGTTGCAGCTAGAGCAGTTTTAGAAAAGACACAGGTCATTTTTGATCAGCTTTCAGGGGAAGAGAGAAAAAAAAAAAAGTCCTCTTTCAGACTCTCCAGGAGGGGGCGCTGCTGTGTGTCAGCCATGTGAGCATATGGGCATCTGTTAAATAAATAAAACAGACCCTGAACTGTAAATGAAAGGACATTTTAGCTATGTCAAAGGAAAAACAACCAGTTTTACATAAAATTAAAGCTTAAGTGAACATATGGCATAGTTTCCTTTTGCCTTTCCAAAAAACATTATGTTGATTATACCTTCAATTGTCCAATCTGGCATCTTCTCCTCAGCCTGCATAAGCTGTTTGGCATTCTGCAAATACGATCTAGGACTGCATTAAGCAGATTTTGCACATTAGAATAAAAAACTTTCTGATAATACAATAAAATGCAATAAACACTAATGCTTAATTTCATTAGAGGTTTCGTTTTCCTGGATTCAGTAAATGTCCAGACTGGCCATTTCTCATTCATTTTCTATGAATATTGACTGACACCATTGATGATTTCCTCTACTGAGAGAAAAATGAGCACCAGCCCATTCGTAAGTCCACAGGGTAGAGAAACATCTATGGTTTTCAGCGCAAACCTGGGAAATGGGGAGGAGGCTTGTCAAGTACCTTGAAGGAGATTACAGCAATTTCAGTGAGCTCCACTGGTCTGAGATAAAAGAGGACTCCTAATAAATCATTACTCATTATCTTAAGGCCTCTGTGTTAATTTTCCTTAGTCCATCCAATTAGTGTGTTTTGGTAACAAACATTTATAAAACTTAATTTTCAGATCCTGTCAGATAAGTGTCAGGAGACTGGGCACCGGCATTGCTGAGGAAGTGGCTGGGGGAGATTTCTGGAGCCTGACTGATTGTCTGTGTTCTACAAAAGCCCAAGAATGAAAATTGGGTTCTATTGATTCTAATTAGGGAAACATTAAATAAGCTTCACCTCGAAACAGTGCTGCCAGCTATTCCATTTTCTGAATGATAGGAATTTCTAAGCCTCCACCAAGTTTTTCTGGCCCCTCTGGTCAAGTATCCATTGACTTGGCTAAAAACAGGTAACGTTTTTCTGGTACTAAAAAAACCTCGAATCACTATTTCCTTCAGTTACATTTTTGCACCCTTTATTATTGCATTTCCTTCTAGTCCTGAGAATCTAGTAGTTGCTAACAGGTTTTGTTGCAATGTCAGATCAATGAAAGCAGAAACTTTTCCAAGCATAACTAAAAAACAGGATGTTGTTTCTATAGCATATACAAGAAACAAATGTCATTCTCTGCAGATACTGCAAATTAAAAAAAAAAAAAAGAATCTCTATTTGATCTTAATTTTTTTCTACAAAATATGATATTTGGGAATATTTCCTCCCAAATCTGTATTTTTAATTTGATAGTAATCAAATATTACTGCCAGGGAATATTGATGTTGATAATTTGCAATAAAAAAAATTCATGTGGCAGTAATAGTAATAAAAATTTAAACTATATCAGAAAAATTACAGCTTGGATAAGGATTCTTGTTGTTAAAGGAGACAAAAAGAAAGCTTTGTTTTCAATTCTAAGATATATGAAGTCTTTTCATTTTGAGTTTACAAAGTTAAAAATTTAGAGGAAAAGGCAAACAGTGAACAGAGAAGACTCTTTAGCTTGACTCATAAGATCCCATTTAAGACCTTAGTTTTCTAAATTAATAAGATGTAGAATATTGAAATATCTGGGTTTATTCTTACCTATTTGTATCTCCTCACTTAGAAGAAAGTATCAAATCTAAAACTACGTGTAAAAATTGGAAATAGGGCCAACAAGAAAATTCATTCTGTTAGCAAGGCTTTATAACCCCTTCCATAAACTCTCACATGGCCCTGAGCGATAAAACACATTTGATGTGATGCTTTCCATTTGTCTCTAGTGTTTACTTTATGAAGGATTTTAAAAACATATCACAAATTTCAGACAGATAAATCTGAACCAGAGTGAACGAAAGACAACAGATGAAAAAAGAGAACTGAAGAATTAGATGCTCAGAAGAGAAAACACTGTCACATTTAAGTAGGAGTGTTTTTCTGGAAACTGACATTGGCTCTATTTGGAAGATGGCCTGGGTGTGTGGAGAGAGGGAGACAGGAAAGATATTCCTATTGAAGGCATCCCACAGAGATAGAGTTATACAGTCAGTAATTCACCCAGGCAGAAGGGCTCTGACCTTTGCTCTTTTTTAAAGGAATTAGGACAATTAATGACTTTCATGCCCATTAGGTCTACGGGCACTAGATCTTTGCCTCCCATATTGCCTTCTACATTTCAGTGGTTTACGTGGAGTTTTATTTTAAAACTGCTGTATACTATTTAATCTGCTTCCCCAAATCCCACTTAAGAATCAGAGTAAACCCAGAAAGCGTCTAACTCCTCTTATCTGTTTGCTATAAAAAATTTCATTACAGGACAGATGCTTCATTCCAGCAAAGGCAGGTAAAGCCAAGGAGAAGCAGAGAAGTATCATGACTGCAGCGGCTTATTTCTTACTATGGGTTTTCCGAAACACTTTAATATACATATGTTGAACCATAAATGGAATATTTGGGGTTGATTATAGGCTATTCGAGGCTTTGTTTTTTTTTCCTTTCAAAACACCACCTAGTTTAGCATGTGTGAAAGAGAAATGATGCTACTAGTGATCCTGGAGTGCTCTGGTCTGATCCTGCAGATAACAAGATTGTCTCACATTTGTTGGTGGCTGAACCGGAGAAGATCTATGCCATGCCTGACCCTACCGTCCCCGACAGTGACATCAAAGCCCTCACTACACTGTGTGACTTGGCTGATCGAGAGTTGGTGGTTATCATTGGATGGGCGAAGCATATTCCAGGTACATTTTCTGAAATGAAAAAGAAAAGTTTGCAATCAATCCCCTAGGGTGTATATGTTGATTTATGCCAATTCACAGTTTTCTCATTAGGAGTTAAAAAAAATTTTTTTTTAATTTATATATTTAAAAAATTTTTATATTATTTGTTTTGGCCACCCAGCAAGGCATACAGAATCTTAGCTGTCCAACTAGGGATTGAACTCACATCCTCAGCAGTGAAAGCTCACAGTCCTAACCACTGGCCTTCTAGGGAAATCCTGTTCATTAGGATTTTTTTTAAACCTTTACATTTGTCTTTGTCATACTTAATTTAGAGCTTTCCTATCCTAATAGAATCATAAATCTTTTTATAGCTATACCATCTTGAATGCTTGTTCATTATTTTTTCACACCTGAAGGTACTATTATTGCCAACCTCAGATAAATAGAATGTAACTTGTTAAAATATTTTTTATTCCTTTTAAAGGCTGTTTTAGCCCAAGAAAATACTTGATAAAAAATGTTTTTTTATCACGGGTAGTCTAGATCCCATTTTTCCTTTTAAAAATCACTTATTTTGTCATTTGTAGTAGCAATCTATACTGAATTGCTTTTCATATTTGCTTATTGCTTTGGTTTACAATGAGATATTTACCATGATTTTATACATAAATTACAAAAATAAATGTTAAACTAACATCATAAATTTTCTGTTCTGTTAACTTAAGAGTAGTGTTTTAAAATACCCAGTGACTTTTCTTTCCAGACCCATCCTTAGATCAGTGAACATATTACCTGATCACAAGGTTTAAGAATTTTAGTTGTCTACTTGAATTATTGTCTGTTTGAACTCTGATCTTCAAATAGTTTACACACAAATTTTTGGATGATGAGCCATGTTTCTTTGGTAGAGTGAACTTATTTCTGTCTCCTTAAACTAGTTTGTCTTTATGCTTTGAATGCTACAGTAATTTCTTTAATCAAATTGATGGAAGTCCCTTTCCCAGCCCACACTGAAACCAATTTATTGGTCATGATACGCCAGCTATGTTGCTAACAGTCGTAACGAACTGTCAGGCGATATCGCAGTGAAGCTAATTTGAAGTCATTAGGTGTGCAGCGTTCAGGCGACAATTTGTTACAGTGCTTGGGAACACAGCTGACATTTCTGAATGGCTTTGTTCGCTGCAGTTCTAGATGAGGCCAAGCAAATTGTAAACTAATTTAAACATCACTCTGTATTATACCAGCTACTTTGTCTTACACTGTTTGCTAATAAAGCACCCCAAATTAGGTCAAAACTAGTTAAATAGGTGAGCTGGAGTGTGGTCTGTAGCAGATACGTCCACAAGGGTCACTACATCTAAAAGAAAGATGAGAATTTGATCGTGTGGATGGTTGGTTTGCATTTGGATTATGATCACAGCTGACAGATTTTTCAGGAAAAGCAAAAAAAGAAAAAATAGAATATGCTAAAAGATGGTAAGACATTGGGAATGGTAGCAGGGGAAAAAGCTGGAATTTGCCTAAACAATTATATGAAAACTTATTTTGAAAGAAAGTGTTAATAAAGGGATTTAGAGAGAAACACAACTAAGATTTGTTGAAGAGTCCACACATGCTTTTAAAAATAACCAATATATAGTATATCATTTATATTTACATATGCTGTTACTGCTGCTAAGTCGCTTCAGTTGTGTCCGACTCTGCGCGACCGCATGGACTGTAGCGCACCAGGCTCCTCTGTCCATGGGACTCTCCAGGCAAGAATACTGGAGTGGGTTGCCATTTCCTCCCCCAGTATTTATATATGCACACACGTATGTTGTCACAGATTTAAAATAGCATTATTCTAAACCAGGGTTTCTCAGTCTTGACACAGTTGTTGTTTGGAGGCAGGTAACCCTTTGTTGTGGGGGCTGTCCTGTTCCTTGTAGGGAATTTAGCAACATCCTCGGTCTCTACCCTCTACCATCTTCTGGTACCCTTGAGTTATGACAAACAAAAATGTCTTCAGACGTTGCCAGATGTCCTCTTGAGGGGGCAAAATCACCCGCTTCTTCCCCAGTTAAGAACCGTTGTTCTAACCCAGGAATCAGATATTACTATCCATAATTCAAAGATAGGGAGATCTGGGGCAGGAGGAGGTATTAATAAAAGCACTTCCACAAGTTCACAAATGTGTCCAGAGCCTTCAAAGCCCATATTCATCATTGCTTCCTGGAGTAGAATCTGTGTATTTTAGTTCCTCAGTTGATCACCTTTGAGAGAATAAGTTCAAAATAATAGCGATAATGTTACCATTATTCATAGCAACAGCGTCAAAGGCTATGTCACTGTGACTCCACACCGCCCATTCTTTCAGAGAATTTTGCCCCAGTTCTCCTCGAATTAAGAAATTTACTAAGCCGTATTTTGATACTGTGCAGACATTCCATAAAGACGACCAAGAAGTCAACAATGCCTGCTGATGCTCTCCGGTCAGGATAAGTCGGTGATAAATTTGTGGGTCCAGTTGTGTATCTAAGTAGAAATGTCAGCTCACAGAGGAACTTGTCACGGTAAAGGGGCTCTGGTGACTTCTGTGAAGACAGTAACTTTAAATAACTATGAGTAACAGCATTTCCAGTGGTGGAAACAATTGCTGTCCGATTATGTGTTCAGTCTTAAGCGGAGGCTTAGAATTGGTGGGGGCTGACGTGAGTCTCTCTGCCCAGCAAATGCCAGAGGAGGTTGCTGTGCGCTGATGATTCACAGCTCTGGTTTTCGTGATACCCGGAGGGTGTTTTAAATGATTGCAAGGAGTCTCTTGGCTTTCCAGACAGGGATTAGCAAACCATGCATTCGCTGAAATGCTAACAGTAAGTATGCCAGGCAGTGTTTTGAGGTGGAAGAGAAAGATGCTGCTCGATGTGCAACCCGGGTTCAGGCCTCCTGGGCATGGCAGCAGCGTGCCATGTAGGATGGGAGGGTAACGCCTAAGAGAATAGAAAGATTGAGGTCCCATCTTTGCCTCGATAAAAGTAAAAATGGGTTTTTGATACCATGACCTAGTCCTGATCACTGGGGTCAGAGCTGGAATTAAAGCCAAATCAGAACTGAAATTTCAACTTCAAAACTGTTATCCTTTTAATGCTTATGTGAAAATTAAGTGAAATCTTTTGAAAAAATATACTAACATCCAAGCCTTTGCTCTCTGTATGCTGCTCTCAGATTGTGGAATCACACACATGTAGACCCACGCGCTTTTTCAAAATCAAGTTTAGCATCTCAGATAACATAGCCTTTCTGCACTGCTGGGAAAGTATTTTCATATACTTGTTTTACTCCGTAAAAAAGTGACAAATTCAACAAAAGCAAATATTGAAGAAAAATACATAAGGAGTGGGTTTCTTTTTTTTTTAAATCAGTAAATAGAGTTAGTTGACTTGCTTTAATAAATCACATAAATGGAAAGTGTGTTGTTCTGAAACATGACCATACTTTATCTCTAGAAGCAAAAAGATCACAAGGGCTTTAGAAAATGCTTGACTTTAGTTGAAGGAGCATAAGGGCACCAGAACAGATGATGGTGCCCTAATAGCCCTTTTTAAGAATGACAGGGCCCCGCCATTAGCATCCTTTTATATCCTTGGAAATTGCTCAGGCCTCGCTTTTCTGGTTCCTATCTGCCTGACTCTTTTTTATTTCTCTTTCAATTTCGTCTGCGCTCGGATAAGCGCATGCTAACACAATATGATTGAGCTGTAAAATGGAACGCTGTCGCCTCTAATCTCTTTTATGTAGATACGGAGGTCTTGCACACTCCACTTCATTCTCTCTCCATTGTTGGCCTTTTTTAGAATGGGCTGCCAAGTAATGGAGGCTCCGTCAAATATTAGAGCTAGGTTTCACACGGTGTGATAAGACGATTATCAGCCCAGCAGTCAGATCTGTTATTGTTCTTTGGGCTTGATTAAAATATTATTTTGTACTGTAACTTTGTTAGCAGAATGCAGAATGTGCTTTGTCAGATGGTGCTTAAAAAAGCATCACCCATATTAGCTGACCTATATAAGTGGCTTAAATATATTTATGGATCTTGCCAGATGGATTACTTTAAAAGAAGAGAAAGGTATTTGAACAATTAAGTGAATGAATGTATCTTAGAAGGGTCTTTTTTGGTCCCTTTATCAAGTATGGCAAATTGTCAGGTGGGCTTGTTTAATTTTAACATGACAGGTTAAACAATTACTTGCTAAAGAAGGAGGACTCTGTTTAAGTTTGGGGCCTCTTAGTCACATTTTTAAAATAGTGTCTATATAATGGCATTAAACAGAAAAGGAAAAAACCTGTAATTTTTCTTCATACCAAACGAAGGCAGGAAATATTAAGCCTGAGAAGCAAACCACACTAAGAAGGTATGTGATAGAACACTCTTTACATGTAGTTGTTTATTCATGAAGAAACAGAAATTAACATATAGAAACCAGTATTCCCCATTTACTCTGAAACCTTTTTTATAAAGACATTTATTTACTTAGGAAAATGTGTTAAAATTGCTCATTGAGTTTTTTTTAATAGTTTTCCCAATAAAAGTATTTAGAGTTTTCTGTAAATGAAAGAAATCTCTAAAGAAAATAAACGAACTGTTTCTACACTAGGATATAAATCTTGTGAGAGAATACACAAGAGCATTTTGAACATTTGTGGTCAATGATACTTTTTAAAGAAATGTTTACTGTCCTGGTGCATTTTATGTAGAGACAAATTTTTTAATTATATCATCCCCCAGACAAAGTTGTGAAGGTTTTGTTTTTCAAATGCCCATTATTTATTTTACACTGCTTAGCACCACCTCATGCTTTTGATATGTGAAAAAGCACATAGCATTGTGATGGAAATAATTACTGTATGCTCATGTTTCCATCTGTAACAACAGTATGTTTCATGTACATGTGTATGTGATCATGGTTTCATATGCAAGAAATGGCATAGTTGACTAAGAGAGTTACATTATATATTGTTGTTGTTTTAGTCAT